ATTCAGAAGAGATGGGCTGTTGAAGCAGTGCTGCTGGCATCCCTTCCCTGTCACACCACCATTTCATCCTGTTTCGCCCCTTCTCCAGCTCTTTGGAAATTTGTGATCAGGGGAATCTTAGTTATTATTTATTTTGGCTCTCTTCTTGTGTGCTGTGGGCCCTGGAATAGAGATCCCTGAAAAACCAGTTTATTTCATCTTACATTAAATGGTTGAGTTATTTTGAACATTTACCTGTAACTAAATTGTAATATTTACTTGTGAAATGAATCACAAAGTCATTTCCTTTCCTTACACAAAGCAGGATACGTGGACAAAAATTACAATTCTTTTGTTAAATTTATTTTCTACTGACCTAAACTTTGTGTGTTTCATGGAAAAATAAAAAAAAAAGTTCTACATCAAAAAAAAGATACTGAACAGGAAGTTTTTTAAAAATTTTTTTAAAGATTTATTTATTTATTTATTTATTTGAAAGACAGAATTACAGAGAGACAGAGGCAGAGAGAGAGAGAGTTCCTCTATCCTCTGGTTCATTCCCCAAATGGCCTCAATGGCTGGAGCTGTGCTGATCCGAAGCCAGGAGCCAGGAGTCAGGAGCCAGGAGCCAGGAGCCAGGAGCCAGGAGCCAGGAGCTTCTTCCGGGTCTCCCATGTGCGTACAGGCGCCCAAGGACTTGGGCCATCCTCCACTACTTTATCAGGCCACAGCAGAGAGCTGGATTGGAAGTGGAGCAACCGGGACTAGAACCGGCACTCCTATGGGATGTTGGCACTGCAGGTGGCGGCTTTACCTGCTACGCCACAGCACAGGCTCCTGAACTGAAAGTTTTAAGTTTGGCATTCTAGACAAGGTGTTTTTTTCATAAAGATTTATTTTTATTATTTATTTGAAAGTCAGAGTTATACAGAGAGAAGATAGGCAGAGAGAAAAAAGGAAAGAACGAGAGAGTGAGTGAGAGGTTTTTCATCTGATAGTTCACTTCCCAATTGGCCACAATGGCCGGAGCTGCGCTGATCCCAAGCCAGGAGCCTGGATCTTCTTCTGGGTCTCCCACTTGGCTGCAGGGGCCCAAGAACTTGGACCTCCTTCTACTGCTTTCCCAGGCCAGAGCAGAGTGCTGGATCTGAAGTGGAGCAGCTGGGTCTCGAACCAGCGCCCATATGAGGATGCCAGCGCTTTAGGCCAGGGCATTAACCCTATGTGGCACAGCATTGGTCCCTAGACAAAGTGTTGTACTGGTGGACTGGTGACACCATTTCACTAAGTCACTAATTGCTCCTTCATAAAAATAAAAAAAAAATTTGGACCCATTGATATTAAAGGTCCCTTTTATCTTTAAATTAGCTACAAGCATGGGGTAAGATGCTACTTGGGACTCTTTTGTACAAGATTGCTCTGGTTCCAGTTTTTGTTCTGCTCCTGGCATCAGCTTCTGCTAATGCACATCCTGGGAGGCAGCAGGCGATGGCTCATGTACTTGGGTCCCACGTGAGAGCCATGATTGATTTCCTGGCTGTTGGCTTAGGCCTAGCTAAGCTTCCATGCTTCATGCATTTGAGGAGTGAACAAGTACATGGACGATTTCTCTCTCCCTCTCTGTTTGGCTGTATTTCAAAAAACAAAAACAAAAAAGCCTCTGATTCCTTCAATCTATAAATAGAAAGGACCTCAGCTCATCTCAAAGATAGTGACCTCTCAACATATAACATAATTTCTATGAAGAGCAGCTGAGCATTTTATCAAAAATAACTTAATGTGTGTGTTTTTTTAAGATTTTAAAACCATGAATTAGGCATAAGATGGCTTCTGTTTTTATTCGGTATGAAATATTAATAAAGATGGGGACTTATTCAAGTTCCAAAGTTTATACCCCAAACTTTTTGATTTTGGTTTTTTCATCTACTCTTTAATTGTTAACTAAATTCTTGTTATTTGGAAAGACTTTGATTAGGCTGAATCACAAAATAATGACTCATAGCACAAAATCAATAAATTTTATTGAACCCAATTGATCTGAATGTTTCAATTGGTGAAAGGGAGTAAGACATAGGACGTGTGGGGTCAAGCCTAAGTTCTTCCAACTCTAGTTTGTATCTCCTAGTCTGGGGAACTGATTCTCTGAAACTCTGCTTCCTCCTCTATTAAGTGGAGATAATTTTACCTTAGGCAATTGTGGTAGAATCTAAAGGATATTATTATTTATTATATTATTATTTTATTATATGTGCAAATTGTCAGGACCTCTGTAATCATGACCAATAAAACACTGGGTCTTGAAAGACTTAATTTTCCTTACTGAAAGGGCTTAGAAACAACTGAACTAGTAAGTTGTAAGAATAGGATGATATCTTAACATCTGTGTGCCTTTGCATGAGCATTGTCCCAATCACTGGCTTAACCTGCTGCTGGCCCCACACCTGTGCTTCATGAAGGCAGTCGGTGGTGTTGACTCAGAGTAACTAATGTTTGGGGTTTGGTTTGATTTACTTATGTGGTTGCCCAGGTAGCAGTGGCGTGAGCCATTGTGTACTGCATAGGACATCAGAAGATCTCACCTCCAATCGGCTTTTTTTCTTTTATTGTTTATTGTTCTATGGGGGCTCTGTGTCCCTGGTCAGATCTCTTATTCTCCCACAGTCTGCATTTCCAACTGAAAAGTAAGAAATAGTGATCTCTGCTTTCCAGTGTGTTTTGCCTATAATAATGAAAAGCATTCACATTTAGTTAGCTAATAACTTGGCATATGGTTGGTTGCTAAACTATGTTTACTATTTTATGTTTAGGCACCTGTAATGCTGGCAGAGTGTACTGAGTTCTTGAAAGGCTTCTGCTCTCAAAGACAAAATGTCCTAGATTTTGGAGTAGCACACAACAGACATTAGTGTACATGTCATAGATTATTTTGATTTCCCTCAAAGTCAAAAATTACCAACTGGTCCTTAAACTAATTTGCTTGCATCAGACAATTTACTTTAGTGGTTCTCTGTCATGACTGTACTAGCACCACTTGGATTTTTAAAATTTTACCTTAAAATACCAATACCTGGGCTCCAGACCAGTGCAATGAAAGCACAACCTCCAATCTGGGCACAGGAAAGAAAGAGCACATGACTGAGGAACATTTCATGTGTGTCTCTGTAATTGGGATAATGTATCCTCGGTTGAGAGTATGTAGTTCATGCGGGTGTTAGGTCACATTATGCACCAATGGTCACAAGTGAATTGAATCTTGGTCAACTAACTGGAGTCCAAAAGTACTGAGCACCTCCTCTGATAGTCTTGTCAAAGCTGCATAACCACAACTGAATCTTGAGGAATCGTCAGACAATCTCAGAAGAGAGATGATTTAGAAACTCCTAGGTTGTACCCTCAAATAAACAAGGTCAAAAAGTCAAGGGAAGATTGAGGAACTGTTGCAGGTTGTACTTGATGGAGGATGTCGCTCCCCGTCTTCGTGGAGGAACGACACTAAACCCTGCCTAGGCTTCATATCTGAGTCACGGCACCATTATGTCGCTCCCCCTCTTCGTGGAGGAACGACACAGGACCATGCGCTGTTCTTTTGTCTGCTCGGCCCTCCCCGGGTTTGCTGCTGGTTCTTCCCGGGTTGGCTACTATCCCTTCCACCTCCGTGGAAGGGCAGTTCCCCCTGGCCGCATTCCCCACTTCCGCAGGGGAGCGGCACACCGCCGGCCGGCTTTCTCGGGGGCTGCACGGGTTCCCTTAGATGTTCCCCATAGATGTTCCTGGTGCATGCCGTCTCTCTCCTTCTTTATAGTCCTCCTCCGCCAATCCTAACTCGGCTGCCCACACGCCGAGTACGCTGCTCTCCAATCAGGAGCAAGTCCTACAGTTTATTAGCTGAACTGGAGGCAGCTGTGCGGAAGCTGTTTACTTCTCTCCCAGCGCCATATTGTGGGAGAGCAGATGCATAGAATAAGTCTTAATTTCAGTAACTTAGTCCAGTCCGGATTGCTCCCCACACGAGTTGCTCCCCACAGAGGAGGCCTGACAATTGCAGGAAGTAATTCAGGATTGTGAGTTGGATCTGAGTGAATATGAAGGACTTTATGAAACACTCATGGAATTGAGGATTTGATAGTTCTAATGCATCATTATGAGTTTTCTGGTTTTGAAGTTTGTATTTTGGTTATATAGAACAATTGTCTGAATTTTAAAGGAAATTTATATTGAATACTTTCAGTTTTAAAAATTCTGTCAACAATTTGCTTGGAAATGTTCTAAGTAAATAAAATTTTTTGTATGGATCTCTGATCAACTTGTTGGTCACACAGACACGTTCCCTTACTGATAACTTATGGAGCTACCATATACATTTAGGGTGCATGAAATATTTTCTCTGTAAACTATGATTAAAGGTAAATGTTTATTAAATTATAAACAGTTCTAATTCACTATTATGATTAAGTTGAGTTTCTCATTCCACTCCAATTGTGGAGGCCTGCCAGTGATGCCCTTCTGACCATTCATTTGGGCGGTCATGGGACATCCCTTAGACGTGAGAGTCGCTGAGCTAGGAATTGAAACATAAGTTCTAAAACAGAGTTTTGAAGTGATATGTTAGGGAAACTTCACCTCAAGTCTTCACATTCCTAAAATTAATGTAGGGGTTACATTTGTGGATACCTGAGTCCCCTTTTGATCTAATTATGCATGAGTCTTTCCAATTCTGCTAAGAGAAAAGGCCAGTTTCAGGTTTTGTCAGCAAAAAAAGATAATTGTGTAAATTGATAACTATGAAAATATGTTCAATTCTGATAATAATTTTATTATGTATTTATTCAAATATGTTGTACATCATACATATAAGGAAAATAAATTGTCATAGTTATGACTGCAGTTATGAATTTAGGACAAATACAATATTATCTTTAGAGGTTGTCCCTTTGTAGAACCATTGCATTGGTAATCTTGTAAGGCTTGCCTTCCAGTGCTATTTAAATCTTCTTGACGAATCAATGTTATCTCCTGATCAGGACTGTCCATGATGGTTCCTGTGTATCCTGGAGCTGCTTGAAGAAGTCTTTGATCCCAATCACTACTGAAGCTCATGCCTGTGAGTCTGTTCACAGTCTCTTTTTCCAGTTGTCCCTTATCTTACTCAGACATTTTTCTCATAATGTCAGGTCAAGAAATCAACACTGGAGCCAGCACTGTGGCCCAGTGTGTTAAAGCACTGGTTTGCAGTGCTAGCATCCCCTGGGGTGCCAGTTTGAGTCCCAGCTACTCCACTTCTGATCCAGTTTCCTGCTAATGGCCTGAGAAAACAAGGAAGATGGACCAAGTCATTGCCCCCTGCACCTGTGTGGGAGACCTGGAAGAAGCTCCTCGCTCCTGGCTTCAGATTCACCCAGCTCTGGCCATTGCAGCCATTTGGGGAGTGAACCATTAATGGAAAACCTCCCCCTCCCTCTCCCTCCAACTCTCTCTGTAACTCTGTCTTTCAAATAAATAAAATAAATATTTTAAAAAAAACAAAGCAGGACTAACATCATTGGAATTGATGGGGAGCTGGGATAAGCTGCCCTTTCCCCCCCCTTTCCACTCAGTTCTCTGAGATTGGTTTTAGCCTCAGTTACACTGAGAAAGTTTCACTCCACACTGACTGGAAGTGGAGAAACCCTATCTTTATTCCCTTTGTGAATGTAGGGCTCTGTTGCTTAGTGAACAATTTGGAGTACCCTCAGAGTAACATTTTATTTCCAAAATTGCTTTGAAGAAGCTGAGATGTGAGCCAAAAGGCACCATCAAAGACATCAGTTCCAATCCCAATTCTGCCATGTGTGAGCTATGAGACTTTAGAGGTGTCCTGTTCTGAGAGTCTCCCTCTCCTCATTAGAAAACAAAAAGAAGAACATGTGTCCTCAAGTACTTTGTTTAAATGTTTAATGGCGAAAGGTATGACTGTTTACTTGATAGATATTCAATCATTCAAGATGTAGAGTATAAAATATCTAAGTTCAAACTTTTAGTATTGTATTTTTAGTTTAGTACTTTAAAATATTTGAAGAAAGTATTTGCTTTCTTGGAAAATATTATTGTGTTCCAGGAAGTGCTATAGGATAGACATTTTATATACAAAGGATGGTAACACAGGTACCCTCGATGTCATATATTCCCAACAGACATCAACATAGTAAATCAGAATGCTGGACAATTTTTAAACAAATAACTAATTATATTAGCTCTCAACTCAGGTTGGTGTTAGCCACCTGCATTTGCTGACGTAAGTCTTAAAAGAGTGCCTGTTCCTCACCATACACTTGGTCGACCAGAACCTGAGTGGTACTGGAGGTAGGGGAATGCAAAGGAAAGCAGAGCAAGAGGAAAGAAGACCTAACAAAGTCCACCCCAAAGAGGTATTAAGTGCATTTAACTTATTGTTTACTCTTGTAGGTCTAAGGCACACATTATTTGCAGGGAAGTTCTAAAAGCCTGCGATTGCCAGCACTCAGTTGTCTCAGGAAGAAGAGAAGGCTCCCATGGATCCCGTGGTGGTGCTGGGGCTCTGTCTCTCCTGTATGCTTCTCCTTTCACTCTGGAAACAGAGCTCTGAGAAAGGGAGGCTTCCTCCTGGCCCCACTCCTTTCCCAATTCTTGGAAATGTCCTGCAGCTGGGTTTTAAAGACATCAGCAAATCTTTAACCAGAGTAAGTACACATTATCATACTTCAATGGTTTGTAAAGCTTAAGTAATTAGCCTCAGATTTTAAATAAAATATATTGCTGAAAGCAAATGACTAAAATATTCTGTTTAAAAGAAAAAGTGCCTAGAGATTATAATATTTGATGTGTCATTGTCAAAGATAGTTGAATGAAGTAACACAATTTGCCAGTATGGAATTGCTTAAGTTCTGTAGGATTGAAAGTTCTGTATATATCTGTTAGATCCATTTGGGCTATAGTGTCGTTTAAATCTACTGTATCCTTGTTGATCTTCTGTCCTGTTGATCTGTCTATTTCTGAGAGTGGAGTATTGAAGTCCCCCAGTACTATTGTATTGGGGTCTAAGTTTCCCTTTAAGTCCGTTAATAAATCTTTTAGATAAACTGGTGCCCTGTAGTTAGGTGCATATACATTGATAATTGTTATATCTTCTTGTTGTATTGATCCCTTAATCATGATATAGTGCCCCTCTTTGTCTCTCTTAACAGTTTTTGTGGTAAAGTTTATGTTGTCCGATATTAAGATGGCTACGCCTGCTCTTTTTTCATTTCTGTTGGCATGGTATATCTTTTTCCAGCCTTTCACTTTCAGTCTGTATGGATCTTTGTTGGAAAGATGTGTTTCTTGTAAGCAGCTAATAGATGGGTTTTGTTCCTTAACCCAATCAGCCAATCTGTGTCTTTTAACTGGACAGTTCAGGCCATTCACGTTCAATGTGACTAATGATAAGTGGTAACTTTGCCCTGCCATTTGCCAAAGATAAGTTCTAATTTATGCTTTGAATTCCCTGTGATCTTTTGCTGTGAGGTTTCCTTCCTTGGTTTCCTTCCTTTACCTTCTGTCATATTGATGACCGTGTTTCTGTGTTTCTGTGTGTAACACATCTTTAAGCATCTTTTGCAGGGCTGGACGAGTGGCAACAAATTCTTTCAATTTCTGTTTGCTATGAAAAGTCTTTATTTCACCTTCATTCACAAATGATAGCTTTGCAGGATATAATATTCTGGGCTGGCAGTTTTTCTCTCTTAGTACCTGGGCTATATCTCGCCATTCCCTCCTAGCTTGTAAAGTTTCTGATGAGAAGTCAGCTGTGAGTCTGATTGGAGATCCTCTGAGAGTAATCTGACGTTTCTCTGTTGCACATTTTAGGATCTTTTCTTTATGTTTCACTGTGGAGAGTTTAATTACAATGTGTCGTGGTGAGCATCTCTTTTGGTAGTGTTTATTAGGGATTCTGTGAGCTTCCTGTACTAGGATTTCTCTGTCCTTCTCCAAACCTGGGAAATTTTCTGCTAATATCTCACTAAAAAGGTCTTCCAATCCTTTCTCCCTCTCCATGCCTTCAGGAACTCCTAGAACCCGAATGTTGGGTTTTTTAATAGTATCCTGCAGATTCCTGACAATATGTTTTAGATTCCTAATTTCCTCTTCTTTTCTTTGGTCTGACTGTATCCTTTCCTGTTTTCTGTCTTCTAAGTCTGATATTCTCTCTTCTGCTTCACCCATTCTGTTTGTAAGGCTCTCTATTGTGTTTTTCATTTGATCTATTGAATTCTTCACTTCAGTCACTATCACAGTTTCCTGTTGTACTAGTTGTTTCGTTTCATTTTGATTCCTCCTTAATATTTCATTTTCACGAGAGAGATTTTCTATCTTGTCCATTAAGGATTTCTGTAGTTCAAGAATTTGTTTTTGAGAACTTCTTAATGTTCTTATCAATTTTTTGAGATCTGCTTCTTGCATTTCTTCTATGTCATCATCTTCATAATCTTGAATTGGGGTGTCTTTTTCATTTGAGGGCGTCATGGTGACTTCCTTGTTTTTATTACCTCGGTTTTTGTGTTTGTTATTTGTCATATTGGAGATATTTGGTTTCTTCACTATGGTGCTTTTTCTTGTTATACTATGACTCTAGATTAAGTGGACTATCTGTTTTTGATGGAGCCTTAGGGCTTGAGATGGGTGTGGCCTGAGAGCTCTGTTTGCTGTGCCAAAGGTGACACTCCCAGGTTAGGCGTGGTAAATCTCTCTCTCTCTCTCTCTCTCTCTTTCTTTTTTTGATTCAAAAGGGACATAATTCCTCACAGCTGAACGAAGTTGGAGGTAGTTAGCAGGCAAATGATATACCTACAGGAGCCAGAGATCGGAAGCTCTTTCCCAAGGACCACACAGGGAATCTGTTCGGCCCTCAGAATGGGCTCAAATTCTCCTTCAGTCTCCCACTGGGTTGCCAAAATTACGGAATTGTAGCGTCTCTGGAGAGTGCTTATGTGAATTCCATGAGTTCTCTCCCCCACCGTCTCTTTTTTCACAGTCTCAGTTCAGTAGCACCACAAATTTACTAGGTCCTAATCTCCTGTTAATTCGCCCCGCCCAGAGTCAGGTTTTTCTGCTAGGCTCAGGGCCGGTGCAGACCTGAGGTCGCTCTGCTTATGACGTATGTCCAAGATGGCGCCTGCTCTTTGTCTTGCTCGCCCTTGAGAGGTGAGCAGAGAGAGAGAAACCCGTGTCCGTACCAGTCACCTTTTTTTTTCTCTCTCTCTCTCTCTCTCTTCCAGTTAGCCTGGTGAACTTTCCCCCCCCAGGGGTCGTTCCCTCTAGTCTCCTCTCTCCGTTTGCCTGCCGGTGTCTCAGGCTATTGAGGTTCGGCTCACCTCGCGTTCCAGCGCTGGTGTGTTGAGTCTGCCACTGGTGAGCCGAACTGTGGGCTCCCACGCTCTCCACGCAGGTCCGCTGTGAATCACGCATTCCAGAAGAGTTTCTTCTGCTGTTTCCTCCCCTACTCTTCCTTGAACCTGCAGTATCTCCACTTTTATTAAACTATCTCTCCCCGGACTATCAGTGTGCTCCCTTCCTATTCCGCCATCTTGCCTCCTCCAGGGAATTGCTTAAGTTCTGAGGTCTAGTCAGGCTAACAAAATGCTAGACAGTCTATAAATTTTAGTCTCTGCCTGTAAAACCAAGTAAATAAGCCTTGCTCAATATGTTGACTAGTTCTGATAATTTGCAAACTGATTTCCCCTGTAAGAGCCTGGAGTTGTGAGTCACTGTTTGAGGAGCTACAGTGATCATCACTATGATTATATATAACATCCAGAAATGTTTGAAATTGTATCTGATGAAGAAAAATATCAACAATATTATGTTCTTATATGATGTTCTTTCCTTTCTGAACAGTATACACTATGTGGACCAAATGAGATTTCTTTTGCTAATAATATTTGCATTCATTCTATTTTCTCTTTCCAGCTGTCAGAAGTCTATGGCCCTGTTTTCGCTGTGTTTTTGGGCTTGAGGCCCACTGTGGTGATTTGTGGATATGATGCGGTGAAAGAAGCCTTGGTTGATCTGGGAGAAGAGTTTTCTGGAAGAATCGTTTTCCAGTGACTGCAAAAGTTAAGAAAGGATTTGGTCAGTGTTTTTGTGTTTGTGTGTGTGTGTGTGTGTGTGTGCGCCTGCATGGTATTGATAACAGGAAGAAAAATGGGGAGTAGAAATGTCGAGGTCTCCTCCTGCACAGCTGGGTTGATCCACAAGCCTTTCAGGTGTCTTTGTCTGGGATCCTCCTTTAGTTTCCATTTCTTTTGCTCTTAGGAATCATTTTCAGCAATAGAAAGAGATGGAAGGAGACCCGGCGCTTCTCTCTGATGACCCTGCGGAATTTTGGGATGGGGAAGAAGAGCATTGAAGAAAGAGTTCAAGAGGAAGCCTGCTGCCTGGTGGAGGAGCTGAGAAAAATGAGTGGTGGGTGATTCTATGTCCTTAAGAGAATGGAGTGTTCTCCAGTGATGGCCCTGGACACAGTCAAGTATGGCAAAATCTTTCATTCTGGGTCCTTATTGTCAGTTCCCTGGAGGAGCAGAGACTGATTGAAGCCCAGAGCTAAGGGAGATTTTGGCACCTTTGGTTGTGTTTCATTCAGTGACCATGCATACAGAGTTTAATATAAAAGCCTCTAATTTTTTTTTCTTTCCTTGTTTTGTTTGCTTGTAAATCCTCATTTTTTTGGACATAAAGAAATATTTTTTCCTGCAGCATAATTGTGGGGTAGTATTCCAGAACATTTCACCAGGGGATAATAGTGTGGCATGGTAGAAATGACTAATTCACATCCTTATGAAACATGAAAAGGTGATGGATCACTTAATTGGTCTATATTTGTAGAATGAGCCTCACTGACAGATCCAGAGGTATTTTCAAGGCCAAGTCTTTAATGCCTACCTGTAATAATGTTTTACTATTATTTCCATTACTTACATGACTCAGTACAGTCCTTATCCATAATAGTACCCCTGTGGACAGATAACTGTTTTATTATTTATTGTTTTAAAAATTTATTTATGTATTTGAAAGCAGAGTTATAGATAAAGAGGAAGAGACTGACAGAGAAAAATCTTCCATTTGCTGGTTCACTGCCCAGATGTCCTCAATAGTTAGCACTGGGCCAGACTGAAACCAAGTGATTCATCTGGGTCTCCCATGTGGGTACAAGGGCCCATATAGTTGGACCATCTTCTACTAGTTTCCCAGGCCATTAACAGGAAGCTGAATAAGAAGTGGAGTAGCCAGTGTTAAACCAGTGCCCATATGGGTTTATGGTGTTGCAGGCTGTGGCTTTACCAACTGTGCCTCAATGCTGGCTGCAAATAAATCTATCAGCAACTTTTGGAAAGATTTTTAAAATTTATTTGAATGGCAGAGTTAGAGAGGGAGGGGAGAAGGATAGCGAGGTCCTCTATCTGTTAGTTCACTCCCCAAATGACCACAATGGCTGAGGCTGGGCTGGTATGAACCCAGGAGCCAGGAGCTTCTTCCATGTCTCCCACATGGGTGCTGGAACACAAGCATTTGGGTCATCATCTGCTGCATTCTTGGGCACATTAGCAAGGTGCTGGATTGTAAGTGGAGCAGCCCGGACTGGAACAGTTGTTCATATGGGATGCTGACACTATAGGTGGCAGCTTTACCTGCTATGCCTCAGTATAGTACAGTACAGTAATTCTCGATGACTTTTTTTTTTTTTTTTTTACTTTTGTGGTATCCATTGTAATATCTTTCTTTTCATCTCTGACTTTATTAATTCAGATATTCTGTGCTCCACTTCCCCTCTTTTGTTATTTGGGCCAATAGTTTATCATCTTTATTTATTCATTTTTTTAAACCTGCTCCTCATTTCACTGATCTTTTGTATCTTTTTCAATTTCAATTTTGTTTATTTCTTTTCTAATTTTTATTTTCTTTCTTCCTACTAATTTTGAGTTTTGATTATTCTAGTTTTTCTAGATTTTTGAGATGCATTGCTAGATCACTTATTTGCTGCCTTTCAAATGTCTTGATGTAGGCACTAATTGCTATAAACTTTCCTCTTAACAATGCTTTCGCTATATCATGTAAATTTTGTTGTTTTTTTTTGTCATCTTCATTCATTTCTAGGATTTTCTTTTGCTCTCCTTTTTTTTTTCTATGACACACTGTTCATTAACAAGCATGTTGTTCAGTCTCCATGTATTTGAATATTTTCTAGAGTTTCTTAAGTTGTTAATCTCTAGCTTCATTCCATTATGGCCAGATACCTGGTATGATTTCAGTATTTTTTGAATTTGCTGAGGCTTGCTTTATGGCCAAGCGTATGGTCTATTCTAGAGAAAGTTCCATGCACTGAAGAAAAGAATGTGTATTCTGCAGTTATGGGATGAGAGGTTCTGTAGATATCAGTGAGATCCATTTGGCTTATGGTGAATATTAGCTCTGCTGTTTCTTTGCTGATTTTCTGCCTAGTTGATCTGTCCATTGATGAAAATCATAGTTTTTTTTTGAAAGCTTAATACTCCAGAGTATTTTAGTTGAACAAGAGCCTGTCCAGAGCAGTTAAGAAAACAGATTTTTCTATTATTAATTCGCTATTCTTTATAACTTCCTGTTTCTTGTCATCTTTAATTATATATGTATTGTGAATCCTGGGGCTTTTACATATAAAGTTTCTTGATCTTTTGATTAGAGCAATTTTATTGAAATATTTTCTACCCCAAACAAAATAAAAGGAAAACAAACAAACAAACAAAAGTCTCCTATGCCTTTTTTAATATGTAAAATGATGAGTTTCCCTAAAGGGTGGTCACATTAAAATATTCATTGTGACACAGCTTTCTGTCGATTTCTGTGTAGAGCAATTATCTAGAATTCCATAAGACCATAAGCTTTATCCAAATAAATTAATTATATAGCCTGATTGGTTATTTTTACTTTACTTTATTTTTTAAAGCCTGATTTGTTATATGGACATTGTTTCCAAGGGCAGGAATTATTTTTCTTTCTATATCAGATAAATCAAGGACTTCATTCATCAATTTAACTTTTGAGTTTACCCTTGTCATTCAAATTTGAAATAAGGATTTCTAGTTTCATTTCAATTTTATGCAAAAAGATTTGTTTTATACTTTGTTTTCATTTGAGTTAGAGTTTTTTTCAAATTCCATGGATGGTTTGCTGGCTATGTTTGCTTTGTGAAACAGCTGAATTGTTTTGTACACTTTCTCTTTAGTCTTTCTGTCTGGAGTTTGTATGTGTAATTTCTTCAGTTGTGGAGGCTCTAAACACGATGCCTGTTTTCTTTCCTTAATTGTCTATAAACTTTAAGAATAGGTGAGGTTTTACACTTATAGCTTGAGTTATTAGGTAGCCTCTAAGACTTTTTCCTTTTGCCCTCCAAAACAACTTGACATAGAGTCAGAATCCTATACCGAGAAGCAGTGATGTTCTCTTCAAGCAGTGGGTGTTTTTGCAGTAGTTGGAAAGCCATCTTTAAATAAACTAGGATGGGGAAATTGTAGTGTTTTTCTAAGCACTTTGAAGATTTTGCTGATCAGTTAGTCTGTATGTAAATATTATGTTCGATTCTAAAATTGCCTCTGTTTGTTAGTTCAAAGCCTAAAGTCCTGTATGTATGTTTTGATAGTATTTAAAAATGTTTCCCAGGCCAGCGCCACAGCTCACTAGGCTAATCCTCCGCCTAGCGGCGCCGGCACACCGGGTTCTAGTCCCGGTTGGGGTGCCGGATTCTGTCCCGTTGCCCCTCTTCCAGGCCATCTCTCTGCTGTGGCCAGGGAGTGCAGTGGAGGATGGCCCAAGTGCTTGGGCCCTGTACCCCATGGGAGACCAGGAGAAGCACGTGGCTTCTGGCTCCTGCCATCGGATCAGCGCGGTGCGCCGGCCGCAGTGCGCCGGCTGCGGCGGCCATTGGAGGGTGAACCAACGGCAAAGGAAGACCTTTCTCTCTGTCTCTCTCTCTCTCACTGTCCACTCTGCCTGTCAAAAAATAAAAATAAATAAAAAAAATTTTAAAAAAATGTTTCCCATTCTTCAGGATCACCCTGCGATCCGACCTTTATCCTGGGTGCTGCTCCCTGCAACGTGATCTGCTCTGTGATTTTCCAGAACTGTTTTGATTATAGAGACCCGAATTTTCTTGCCTTCATCGACAAATTCAATGAAAACTTCAAGATTTTGAATTCTCCATGGGTACAGGTGAGACCAAGTTCCCCTCTTTCTGAGAGAACATTTCTCTTCTTTGCACTGATGAGCTCAGAATTTATATGCAGTCTCTCCACTTTTCAAACATTCACTTCAGCATGGCCCTTAGAATTTTTTCTGGAAGGTAAATGCTTTCCCTTTGTTTTTCTTTTTGTTTTTGCCAATGACTCCTTTTGCTTCTCTCTCTTTTTCTTTTGTTGGCTATAGATATTTGTTTATTGACTTTTCTCCACTAAATATGCTAAAGGTGTATGTTGCTTTCCTGTGAGGTCCCTGCATTCTCTGTTCCCTTAGCTTGTGTTCAGCTGCTTTGACAGAGATTACCTTGAAGGTGAAAGTGAAAAATACAAACAAAGAGCTATAGATACATATACACAATGCAAGATAAAGAGAGAAAAAGAAAGAATAGAGTGAATGGAAGAAAGGAAAGAGGGGAGGTAGGAAGGAAGCAGGAAAGAAGAAATGAAATAAGAAACAACATTAAGTCACTTCTGGGACATGAGCTGTGATAGGCACTCCTTACCTCACTCATATTGGTTAAATGGAACCCAGTTGTCAGTCACAGGAGAAAACTCAGCATTTCCTCAAGTCTTGCCTTTTTTAAAAAATGAGTTATTGGAATGTTAGAGTAATATATATATATATATATATATATATGACTCTGAGACAGAGAGACAGAGACAGAGACAGAGAAACAGAGACAGAGAGAGCTTTTCCATCTGCTGGGTCACTCAAAATAAGGCCACAATGGCTGGAATTGGGCCAGGATGAAGTCAAGAATCAGGAGCTTCTTTGGGGTCTCTCACATGGGTAGCAGGGCTCCAAGTACTCGGGCCATCTTCTGTTGCTTTCCCAGGATATTAGCCGGGAGATAGATCAGACGTCGAATAGCCAGACTCAAACTAGTGCTGTATGGGACACAGTGCTGCAGGAAACAGCTTACCTGCTTCACCACAATGCCAGCCTCAAGTCTTTTATTTTTTTAATATAAAATGTTTTTTTTTTCATTTATTTGAATGGAAGAAAGCTTGGGAGAGACAGACAGAATCAGACATATTCTACCTGCTGTTTAACACTTTAGTTACACATAGTAGCCAGCTTGGGCCAAGCCGAAGTCACGGTCCTGGAACACAATCCAATTTCTTGGTAGGTGACATGCACCAAAACTTTAGTCATCATCTGCTGCCTCCCAGGGCATGCACTAGGAGGGATCTGAAATTGGAAGTTGATCTGTTACTTGAGCACAGGCACTATAATATGGTATCCAAGTGTTCCAAGGGACATCTAAGTACTGTGCCCCAGGCTCACTCCAATGTTCTTTTTGTTTAAAAGATTAAACTTGCTTTATTTTTTTATTCCTTTGTACCACTACCACAATTTATAGAACAATACACCTGGTGCAATGAAAGGACGAAGAAATGACAAAGCTACAACATGTAGAAAAACCTCAGGAATGTACAACTAATCAGCAGTACATTGTATTAATCAACAGCTGCACTTTTGACAAGTTGTGGCTATGATTTCCTGGACAAGAAGGGTTACTGTTCATGCTGCAGTAGCTTTTCTAAATTTTGGTCATTGTTCATTCTGTGACAGGTTTTTTGTATAGTTCCTATAGCATTTGGGCTGATAGCCTCCAAGTTATCTGCACCTTTCCTGATAACTCTTTTCTCTTTGTCTTGTTCATAATTGTAGCCCTTTTCTCCTATTTTTTAGACTCTTTCTACCACCAGCTCCATGAACACCACCATAGGAACTTCCTGAGCTTCTCCATTCATAATGCCCCCTATTATAGGGCCATACTTGACTGCTGCATCAACTTGAACTTCCAAAACCATTGTTGTGCCCACCACCGCCATAGTTACCTCCAAATTTCCCTCCTTCATTTTACCCTCACATCCTCCTTCTCTAGCATATCTGTCCCCGTATCTGTCCACCACAACCAGTAGCCTCTTCTGATACTGCCGTCAGCACCAGCACTGCACTTGCCTCCATGGTCTCCAAATCCCTTCTGTCCACCATCACCTCCTCTGTACCCTCTCTGCCGCCACCACCCCAATGTCATAGCCTCCTCTTCCACCAAAATTTCCACCACTGCCAAAATTACATCCACCACCTCCAGAGTTTCCTCCATGATCCATTAAGTTGCCAGACCCAGCACCTCAGCCCTTGGTGATCTGGCAGCAGCCTGCAGCTTTTGTTTAGAAAAGGTTTTTTTTTTGTTGTTTCATCTCAAAACTATGCCCACTTAAAGAGTGGTATTTCTGAACAACAATTCTATCAACTGTTAGAAAATCCAAAACCTTTCCCCCACTCTACCTATGCTGCATAACTTCTTTTTTTTAAGATTTATTTATTTATTGAAAGTCAGAGTTACACACAGAGAGAAGGAGAGGTGAGAGAGAGAGAGAGAGAGAGAGGTCTTCCATCTGCTGGTTCACTCCCTAATTGGCTGCAACATCTGGAGCTGTGCCAATCTGAAGCCAGGAGCCAGGAGCTTCTTCCAGGTCTCCCACACTGTACAGGGGCCCAAGGACTTGAACCATCTTCTACTGCAATCCCAGGCCATAGCAGAGAGATGGATCGGAAGTGGAGCAGCTGGGTCTCAAAATGGTGTTCATATGGGATGATAGCACTGCAGGCGGTAGCTTAACCCACTACACCACAGTGCCGTGCCCCTGCATAACTTCTATGATTTCAGTATTTATACTTTTCAAAGCAGTCTCTCAAGTTATATTCTCCTGTATCTTCTTTAATACCACCGAGAAAAATCTCACATTATCACATAATCTGGGAATGTGCCCCATTTCTCAAGACAGCTCTCTCAAGCTATTGTCTGTATTTTCAAAACATAGACCATCAATAGTTTCCTCAACTTCAATGGTTTCTTTGGAGCATGGGCCTCCATTTTTTTTTCTTTCTTTCTTTCTTTTTTTTTTTTTTTTTTACAGGCAGAGTGGACAGTGAGAGAGAGAGACAGAGAGAAAGGTCTTCCTTTGCCGTTGGTTCACCCTCCAATGGCCGCCACGGCCGGCGCACCGCGCTGATCCGAAGGCAGGAGCCAGGTGCTTCTCCTGGTCTCCCATGGGGTGCAGGGCCCAAGGACTTGGGCCATCCTCCACTGCACTCCCTGGCCACAGCAGAGAGCTGGCCTGGAAGAGGGGCAACCGGGACAGAATCCGGTGCCCCGACCGGGACTAGAACCTGGTGTGCCGGCGCCGCAAGGTGGAGGATTAGCCTAGTGAGCCGCGGCGCCGGCCAGGGCCTCCATTTTCAAAACAGTCTTTCCTCATCAAGTCAACTCAAGTTCATTATCTCTTTCAGTTCTTTCCTCAGCCTATGTTCTGAACAGGAATGTTAACATTTTTCTAAATTCTACAGCATACGTGGGCACTTTTGAATGATCTAATTGTCCAAGTTATTCTCCCCCAGCTTTTCTTCCCAGGACCTTAGTGCTCCATTGTGTTCCTCAATTATAGTTATTTGCCACAGGTTGGCTGCAGGGTGTCCATTTGCATTACCAGATTTGGGAGAAATGTCTGCTTACTTTCCACCCTGAATGAATTCTGAATTAAATAAGAAATGTCTTTTATCAGTTCTTCAGGTGGTTCTCAGAAAGGTTAGCACAGAGAAACACAATATCTTCCTCTGGATCCAGGGAGCAGAGTCCCTCCCCTGGGAGCAGTTGAGTTAGAGAGGACAGAGGACAAGGGCAGATAAAATTGCCACAAAGTTTTATTACTAGTTTTAATTACATTTTTTAATTCAGTTTTCTTTTATACTGACACTTATCGATTATTTCCCAGAAGTCATAAATAAAATTTTGACTGTTGCCTAGAGTTCTCATAAAGTGAATTCCGACTGGTTTCAATGGGTTTCTCAAAAATTTTGTGCAGTATTTGGACTTTTGAGCTGCCTATGTGCAATATTTGTTGGTATAAAATGTTGAAGTGAATTTCAAGCACCAAAGTCCTGTCCATATCATAGCATCATTGAGTGCCTGCCTGGGAAACTGAGTTTAGGCCTTTATATATACAGAAGAGAACCAACGTTTGAATATGGAGCTGGAACTCAGGCTGCTTGTCTAGTGGTTGTTCCATTAAAGCTGAAAACCTCAATTTCAGGCGGTCAGTGGGTGACTGACTAACTATAGGCTTGTTGAAAAGCATTCGCTTACCCACATGGTTGGCCTATACTGAGCTCTTAGAGAAGTTTTCACTACATTCTTTGGCTGAAATAGCCCAATTTGGTATATCAAGGAATTTGAACATTTGGGAGCATAGATACTGCCAGAAAGCTTTGGATGGTTAAAGTTTTTGATGCATAAAACACTAGCTGAGAGAGTGGAATTAAGTGATAAAAGGATTGGGTTTGATGTGGATGATCTGTGAGAAAACCTCACAATCATGCTCTTTGCTGGGTTGTTACACTGTGTGACAGTATAGAAGTAACTTAACTTCTCTAGTGCAGAGGTTTTGAGTCATAGAGTTCTGAGCTGGAATCCATCAATGTGATGGCTCACAGTTCAAGCTAGAGTATATTTTGAAGTTAGAGGGAAGAGTTACTGTATCAGATGAGAACTATATAAAGAAGATAAAGGTAATGTATGATTAAAGAAATTACTGTCATTTTCGATCATGGGGCCAGGGTTTTCTCCCTAACATCTGTCTGTCAGCGCTGAGTATTACTTTACATAAATAATCAAATGCTGCTCCTCAGGGAACAAGCTATTTATTTTAAAAATTATTAACATAAGGAGAATATATTTCATGTAGTTTGTTGATAAAATTCTAAGAATATAATGATATTTTCTGCCTCAATTCCACCACCTTCCATCTTCCTTCCTTCCTTCCTTTTTAATTTTCGTAATGAAATATTTTTAATTATGTTACAGTCACAGAGTTTTTTTTTACCAGAATTTTAAAGCATAAAATGGTGTATTGTGTATATGCCTTCAATAAAAATGTTTAATTCAGTAATTATTTTTAAATTTTAAGGTTTGCAATACTTTCCCTATTCTTCTTGATTGGTTCCCAGGAAGTCATAGAAAAATGATTAGTAATTCTACTTATGTAGCAAATTATGATTTGGAGAAAATAAAAGAACACCAAGAATCTCTGGACATTACCAACCCTCGAGACTTCATTGATTGTTTCCTGATCAAAATGGAACAGGTAAAATGTTATTTTTGTCATGTTTTTATGTATTTTTAAACTATATTTAATAAATATAAATTTCCAAAGTACAACTTTTTTTCTTTTTTTAAACTTTTATTTAATAAATATAAATTTCCAAAGTACAGCTTTTGGATTATAGTGGCATTTTCCCCCAACCACCCCCAACCATCCCATCTCCCACTCCCTCACCCATCACATTCACATCAAGATTCATTTTCAATTATCTGTATATACAGAAGATCAATTTTGTATATACTAAGTAAAGATTTCAACAGTTTGAACCCACATAGACACACAAAGTATATAGTACTGTTTGAGTATTAGTTATGCCATTAATTCACACAGTACAACACATGAAGGACAGAGATCCTACATGAGGAGTAAGTGCACAGTGACTCCTGTTGTTGATTTAACAACTGACACTCTTGTTTATGGTGTCAGTAATCACCCTAGGCTCTTGTCATGAGCTGCCAAGGCTATGGAAGCCTTTTGAGTTCGCCGACTTCGATCTTATTTAGACAAGGTTATAGTCAAAGTGGAAGTTCTCTCCTCCCTTCAGAGAAAGGTACCTCCTTCTTTGAAGACCCATTCTTTCTACTGGGATCTCACTCACAGGGATCTTTCATTTAGGCCATTTTTTATTTTGCCACAATATCTTGGCTTTCCATGCCTGAGAAACTTTCATGTGCTTTTTAGCCAGATCTTATTCCTTAAGGGCTGATTCTGAGGCCAGAGTGCTGTTTAGGACATCTGCCATTCTATGAGCCTGCTGTGTATCCCGCTTCTCATGTTGGTTTGTTCTCTCCTTTTTAATCCTATCAGTTGGTATTAGCAAATTCTAGTCTTGTTTATGTGATCCTTTTGATTCTTAATCCTAACATTATGATCAAATATGAACAGAAACTGATCACTTTGACTAGTGAGATGGCATTGGTACATGCCGTCTTCATGGGAATGAATTGGAATTCCCTGGCACGTTTCTAACTCTACCATTAGGGTAAGTCTGATTGAGCATGTGCTGAACTATACATCTCCTCCCTCTCTTATTCCCACTCTTGTATTTAACAGGGATCACTTTTCATTTAAATTTAAATACCTAAGAATAATCATGTGTTAATTAAAGTGTTCAACCAATGGTATTAATTAGAAAAAAATACTAAAAGGAATAATATAGTAAGTTGTTCCTTGACAGGACAAGGGCTGATCAAGTCACTGTTTCTCATAGTGTCCATTTCACTTCAACACGTTTCCTTGTAGGGGCTCAGTTAGTTGTCACCGAACAGAGAGAATATATATATATATATATATATATATATATATATATCCCTTTAGGACTGGCTTATTTTACTCAGCAAAATGTTTTCCAGATTCCTCCATTTTGTTGCAAATGACTGGATTTCATTTTTTTTACTTCTGTATAGTATTCTATAGAGTACATATCCCATAATTTCTTTATCCAGTCTTCTAATGATGGGCATCTAGTTTGATTCCATGTCTTAGCTATTGTGAATTGAGATGAAATAAACATTGAGGTGCAGATAGCTCTTTTATTTGCCAGTTTAATTTCCTTTGGGTAAGTTCCAAGGAGTGGGATGTCTGTGTTGTATGATAGGGTTATAGTCAGGTTTCTGAAGAATCTCCAGACTGACTTCCATAGTGGCTTTACAAGATTGCATTCCCAGCAACATTGGGTTAGTGTCCCTTTTCCCCCACATCCTGCCAGCATCTGTTGTTGTATTTCAGCCATTTTAACTGGGGTGAGGTGATTCCTCATTGTGGTTTTGATTTGCATTTCCCTGATGGCTAGTGATCCTGAACATTTTTTCATGTGTCTGTTGGCCATTTGGATTTCCTCTTTTGAGAAATGTCTATTGAGGTCCTTGGCCTATCTCTTAAGTGGGTTGTTTGTTTTGTTGTTTTGCAGTTTCTTTTTTTTTTAAATTTTTTGACAGGCAGAATGGATAGTGAGAGAGAGAGACAGAGAGAAAGGTCTTCCTTTTGCCATCGGTTCACCTTCCAATGGCTGCAACAGCCAGCGCATCGCGCTGATCCGAAGGCAGGAGCCAGGTGCTTCTCCTGATATCCCATGCGGGTGCAGGGTCTAAGTACTTGGGCCATCCTCCACTGTACTCCTGGGCCATAGCAGAGAGCTGGCCTGGAAGAGGGGCAACCGGGACAGAATCTGGCGCCCCAACCGGGACTAGAACCCTGTGTGCCGGTGCCACAGGCAGAGGATTAGCTAATTGAGCCTTGGCGCTGGCCTGTGTGGTTTCTTGATTGCGTTGTAGATTCTGGTTATTAAACCTTTATCGGTTTCATAGTTTGCAATTATTTTTCCCCATTCTGTTGATTGCCTGTTCACTTTCCTGACTGTTTCTTTTGCAGTACAGAAACATTTCATTCTATGTAATTCCAGTTGTTAATATTGGCTTTGACTTTCTGTACCTCCGGGGTCTTTTCCAAGAAGTCTTCTCCTGAGCCTATATATTGCAGGGTTTCTCCAGTGTTCTCTAATAATTTGATGTTGTCGGTTCACAGATTTAGGTCTTCAATCCATGTTGAGTTGATTTTTGTGTAAGATGTAAGGTTGGGGTCTTGCTTCATGCTTCTTCACATGGAAACCCAGTTTTCCCACCACCATTTGTTGAATAGACTGCCCTTTCTCCAGAAATTGGTTTTAGCTCCTTGATCAAATATAAGTTGGCTGTAGATGTTTGGATTGATTTCTGGTGTTTCTATTCTGTTCCTTTGGTCTATTCATCTGTTTATGTAGCAGTACCATGCTGTTTTGATTATAACTGCCCTGTAGTATGTCTTGAAATCTGGTATTGTGATGCCTCTGGCTTTGTTTTTGTTGTACAAGATTGCTTTGGCTATTTGATTTCCTGTGCCTCCATATGAATTTCAGCATCATTTTTTCCAGATCTGAGAAGAATATCTTTGGTATCTTGATTGGTATCTCATTGCATCTATAAATTGCTTTTGGGAGAATGGAAATTTGAGAAGAATTGAAGTTAGTTTTTCTTCAAATGTCTGGTAGAATTCAGCAGTGAATACATGTGATCCTGGCCTTTTCTTTGTTGGGAGGGCCTTTATTACTGATTCAATTTTTTGTCTCAATTATGAGTTAAGTTTTCTATGTCTTCATGGTTCAAATTAGGTAGGTTGTATGTGTCCAGGAATCTATCCATTTCTGTTAGATTTCCCTGTTTGCTGGCATACAACTTTTTGTAGTAATTTCTGATGACTTTATTTCTTTGGTGTCTTATGTTACATTCCATTTTTCATCTCTGATTTTATTTATCTGAGTCTTTTCTCTCCTTTTTAAGTTAGTTCTGCATGGATTTCTGTAGTTCATGCATTTGTTTTTGATAACTTTTAAATGTTCTTATCAAATTTTTTGAAATCTGTATCTTGCATTTCTTCTATTGCATCATTTTCATAATCTTGTATTGGAGTGTCATGTTCATTTGGGATCATCATGATGTCTTCCTTGTTCTTGTTTCTTCAGTTTTTGGATTTGTTGTTTGGCATTGTGGAGATATTCTTTGGTTTCTTCTTTTCTTTTTTTCACTGTGGTGGCTTTTCTCATTATACTATGGCTCTAGATTAAGTGGACTGTCTGCATTTGGTGAATCTCTAGAGGCTTGTGGTGGGTGTGGCCAGAGATCTCTGTTCAGTTCTTCAGGGTTAAGGGTGTGCCAAATGTGACACACCCAAGTTTGGTGTGGTAAGTCTTCTCTCTTTGTCTCTTTCTCTCTCTCTGTCTCTCTCTCTTTTATTCAGAAAGAAAGTAATTCTGCTCTGCTGAGCTCTTCTCCTTGATGGCAATCAGTGCCTGAGTGCTAGCCCCTGTGTGTATAATATTCATCTGCTCTGTCCCAAGGACACCACAAGGGTTCTGTGCAGTCCACAGTTTAAGCTGATTCCCCTGCAATGTCTCTCACCTGGTAGCCGAGGCCGCCCAAGTTTGTTGTGTCTCCCACTGAGACTACTCACATCTCAGCCACACTGTGAGTTCTCCCACACACCCACAGTTGTTTTTTTTTTTTTTCCACAGTCCCAGTTCATAAGCTCCACACATTCACTAGGTCTTAGTCTTCTGTTATTACTTTCCACCAGAGCCAGGTTTTTCTGCTTGGTTGAGATCGGGCACAGCCCTGAGCTGGCGCAGCTCTTACGTATGTCCAAAATGGCGCCTGCTATATTGTCTTGCTTGCCTTTGTAAGGTGAGTGGAGAGGGAGAATCGTGTCCATACCAGCCCCCTTTATTATTATTTTTCTCTCCTCTAGTTAGGCTGGTGTACTTTCCCCCATGGGGCTTCAAGCCTCGTTCCTTCTAGGCTCTTCCTGCCGCTTTTCCAACAATGTCTCTTGGTACTGTGCTTTTGCCTCACCTCCCTTTCCAGCACTGGTGCATATGCTCGGCAGCTGGGGTCCTAAGCTATGGGCGTTCGTGCCCTCCACATAGGTCTACCATGTCCTACTAATGCCGGAAGAGTTTCCTCTGCAGTTTTTCCATTAAGTATCTCCACTTTTATTAAACTATCTTTTCTCAGACTATCAGTGGACTCTCTCCCTATTCTGAAAATGTCATTAATTTATCTGCATGTGGTGGCTGATTGATAATTTGAGTACTTATAGGGGATGTTCAAATGTCAGAGAAGAAATACTTGACGAACACTTAAAGTTTACTTGTGTGTATGGGACTTGACTAAGGGTCATGGAAGAGTTAAAATTGAGATGCTAAACAATTAGAATATATGGGCTCTGCCTTAGCTATTAATTTCATGAGGAAAGACAGAGTGCACACCTCAGTTACTAGGGACAACAAAGAAGTTGAAAAATTGAAAGTATCAAACCACAGGGTTAATGTGAACCCAATCATATGTTACTGTGCATGAAAGAATGAAAAGTAAGGGTTTCACCTAGTGGGCTTCCTGCATGGCCCAATGTTGAGTTTAATCTTCAAGTATTTGCAGTGAGGTGCAGTAGAAGGGGTTTAGATAGGTTGAAGGGTATAATGAGAGGTTCTGAAGTGTTTGATGGCAAAGATTTGGAAAGCAGACTTACATGACTGTAAGCAAAAATGAATTGGGCCAATAAGGCATGGTAAGTGTCTGTCAAGTAACTCGCAGCCCTGAATGTTGGCAGGGGGAGTTTTGATTTGATCAAGTATAGAAATGTCACAGGGGCAGCATTGTGACATAGATGGTAAAGCCATGGCTTGCAGTCCTGGCATCCTTTATGGGTGCCAGTTCGATTCCCAGCTCTCCACTTTTCATAGAGCTCCCTGCTAATGGATCTGGGTAGGCAGCAGAGGATGGTTCAAGTGTTTGGGCTCCTAAAACCACATAGGAGACCTGGAAAAAGCTGCTGGCTCCTGGCTTTGTCCTGGCCCAGCCAGGTATACCAGTTCTCCCAGAGTTGGTGACTGAAGAACCAAACCATGGAGAAGATTTGAGTTACAGAATTATATGTGTGATCCAAAACATTCTCGTGTCTGGAAGAAACTCAGCTTTGGGGATTCCTTTTGCATTGTGTGACACAGTGCATGGGATGTGGGTAGTATCCAAGTTTTCTCGTAGAGAGAGCAAAGAGCATGTGACGTCAAGTGAGAAATATGTTGCATGGCTACTATGGCTGTAAGAGAGGCTTGCAAATGAAATTTGGAGATGATCAATGGATAATGGATAAATAAAATCAAGGTTGGGTTAATTAATCTACATTTTCTGTCATACCAAATAGTTGTTATAGTTGTTTTTTAACTTTCAATTTTAGAATAGTTTTAAATTTACAAAATGAAAATTGTGAAGTACTACAAAGAGTTCTCATGGACCCCATACTCAGCTTTCCCAGTTATTAACATTTTGTATTGGTGTGATGTGTTAGTCACAATCTATAAGCTATACCTATCTTTCCCTATTATCAACATTTCCTGATTGTCGGCAGCAAGATGGTGGAATAGGAAGGGAGCACACTGATAGTCCGGGGATAGACAGTTTAATAAAAGTGGAGATACTGCAGGTTCAAGGAAGAGTAGGGGAGGAAACTCCTCCGGAACTAGTGATTCACAGTGGACCTGCGTGGAGAGCGTGGGAGCCCACAGTTCGGGACACCAGCGGCAGACTCAACACACCAGTGCTGGAACGCGAGGTGAGCCGAACCTCAAATAGCTCGAGACACCGGCAGGCAAGTGGAAAGAGGAGACTAGAGGGAACAAGGCCTGAACCCCATGGGGAAAAGTTCACCAGGCCAACTAGAAGAGAGAGAGAGAGAAAAAAAAAGTCAGATTACTTTCAGAGGATCTCCAATTAGACTCACAGCAGACTTCTCATCAGAAACCCTACAAGCTAGAAGGGAATGGTGAGACATAGCACAGGTACTAAGAGAGAAAAACTGCCAGCCCAGAATATTATATCCTGCAAAGCTCTCATTTGTGAACGAAGGTGAAATAAAGACCTTTCATAGCAAACAGAAATTGAAAGAATTTGTCGCCACTCGTCCAGCCCTGCAAAAGATGCTTAAAGATGTGTTACACACAGAAACACAGAAACACGGTCATCAATATGAAAGAAGGTAAAGGAAGGAAACCTCACAGCAAAAGATCATAGGGAATTCAAAGCATATATTAGAAAATATCTTTGGCAAATGGCAGGGCAAAGTTACCACTTATCAATAGTCACACTGAACGTTAATGGCCTGAACTGTCCAGTTAAAAGACACGGATTGGCTGATTGGGTTAAGGAACAAAACCCATCTATTTGCTGCTTACAAGAAACACATCTTTCCAACAAAGATGCAAACATTTTCCGTATTTGGGTGAAATACGTGTCGCCATTAATGGACCACACCCAGCTTCCCTTATAACTTTAATCCAGAATTCTTTTATTTTTCCCACCCCTTTCAGACTCTAGTAATGAACGTTTTGTGATCAGATGAAGGACTTTTTCCTTTTTCTTGTTTTTTAAATTTCCATTAGTAAGGGAAAATATGTGGTATTTGTCCTCTGTGTAACTTTTTCACTTAACACCATGTTCTCTAGTTTCATCCAGTTGATTTAGTTTTTAATTTTTTAAAAAAATTTTATTTGTAAATTAATTTTTTAAGGAATACAAATTTCACAAATACAACTTTAGGAATATAGTGATTGTTTCTACCATACCCATGCTCCTGGCCACTCTCCCACCCTTCCTCCTCCTCCCTCTTCCCTTCCCAGTCCCATTCTCCATTAAGATTCATTTTCAATTAACTTTGTACATAGAAGACCAACTGTGTACTAAGAAAATATTTCAACAGTTTGCACAAATAAACACAAAAAAAGCTGTTTGGGACAAGTATCACATTTAACTCTCATATACAACTCTTTGAGGACACAGGTCTTGCATGGGGAGTAAATGGACAGTGACTCTTGTTGTTAATTTAATAATTAACACTCTTATGTATGATTTCAATGACCACCTGAGGTTCTTGATATGAGCTGCCTATCTTTAAGTAAGCCTGAAATAATTTGGATTGATTGTGATGAAAATGCTGATAAAAACATCAACTATTTAAATAATTTCTAGGAAAAGCACAACCAACAGTCTGAATTTACTGTTGAAAACCTGATGACCACAGTGCTTGATGTGTTTGCTGCTGGAACAGAGACAGTGAGCACCACCCTGAGGTATGGACTCCTGCTCCTGATGAAGCACCCAGAGGTTACAGGTATGTTCATGATGAATGAACAAGGCAGATATCAGCAGATGTAGGGAAGCCAGTGCTGGCGTCCTCTCTTATTTCTCTTAGAGAAACTCCATTATTGAAATTTCTGTGCCACCAGCTGCAATTTGTGCAAATATGGTGAAAGGATAAAAGTGAGAGAAATGTGCACAATTGGGTATATATTCAGGGCAGTGCAGGCAACGTGAGGAGTAGCATAGCCATAAAACTCTGGGATGGTGACAGTTGGTGTCTAGACTTCATGGAAAGATATGTAACAGGCACAGGTGTCATGAACTGGCCTGGGATTTTTTGTCTTTCTTTTCTGAAAAATCTAATAGTTTGGTATATGGTTCTCTAACAGATCTTTCATTACTCTAAAAATGTACTGATCTTTTGATGGGTCCAGGAAGACCTATTTTTTATTTACTGAGGTGATGGCATGAGAAAATTTTCAGTCTGAAAAGCACTTTAAAAGGTTTTTTTTTTAGGAAATTTGTACGCAAGTTAAACTGTACATCTCCCTAGGAAATTTAGTAATCCAGGAATCTGAGTCCAGAAAAGTATTTGTTCATTCTTTTATTTTTTACCAAACATTAAAAAAGATTTAATTTCCATTATTTTTTAACTTTTATTAAATAAATATAAATTTCCAAAGTATAGCTTTTGGATTACAGTGGCTTTTTCCCCCCGATAACTTCCCTCCCACCAGTAACCCTCCCATTTCCCGCTCCCTCTCCCATCCCATTCACATCATGATTCATTTTCAATTATCTTTATATTCAGAAGATCAATTTAGTATATACTAAGTAAAGATTTCAACAATTTGCACCCACACAGAAACACATAGTGTAAAGTACTGTTTGAGTACTAGTTATGCCATTAGTTCACATAGAACAACACATTAACGACAGAGATCCTACATGGGGAGTAAGTGCACAGTGACTCTGTGTGATTTAACAATGACATTCTGTTTATGTGTCAGTAATCACCCTAGGCTCTTGTCATGAGTTACCAAGGTTATGGAAGCCTTTTGATTTTGCCAACTCTGATCTTATTTAGACAAGGTCATAGTCAAAGTGGAAGTTCTCTCCTCCCTTCAGAAAAAGGTACCTCCTTCTTTGATGGCCCGTTCTTTCCACTGGGATCTCACTCACAGAGATCTTTCATTTAGGTTAGTTCTTTTTTCGTCACAGTGTCTTGGCTTTTCATGCCTGGGCTTTTTAGCCGGATCTGAATGCCTTAAGGGCTGATTCTGAGGCCAGAGTGCTGTTTAGGACATCTGCCAAACTATGAGTGTGCTCTGTATCCTGCTTCCCATGTTGGATAGTTCTCTCCTTTTTAATTCTATCAGTTAGTATTAGCAGACCCTAGTCTTGTTTATGTGATCCCTTTGACTCTTATTCCTAATATTATGATCAATTATGAACAGAAACTGATCACTTTGACTAGTGATTGGCATTGGTACATGCCACCTTGATGGAATTGAACAGCCCTTCTCCTGACTGTTGAGGAACAACTTAATACTTTATCCCTTTTATTATTTTTTGTTCTGCTTAATACTATTGGTTGAACTCTTTAATGAACACAGAATTATTCTTAGGTATTTAAATTTAACTGAAAAGTGATGCCTGTTATATATAAGAGTGAAAATAAGAGAAGGAGGAGATGTACAGTTTGGCATATGCTCAATCGGACTTGCCCCAAACGATAGAGTTGGAAACATGCCAGGGGATTTAATTGCTTTTAAACAGGTTCTATTTTTATGCATCATTGTAACTACACAGATTATGCTTTTTTGGTTCAGAATCCTATTAAAATGCTGAAAAATTAATTACAAATAGAATTCTTCCTGTTAAAGTACTTTACTGTACATCTAAAACACAAAGAGCAGAGGATGGGGTGATATCCAGTTGTGTAGGGAGATTGAACCTCTTGCCTAAGTGCCATTAACAGGAAAATTTTCCCTGAGTGAGATGAGCAGTCTGTGTCCCTACATTCCCACATGGCTCAGTATTGAGATAAAGCCAGCATTCAAGAAGGTAGAGGCAGATTGGAACAGAAAACAGGAGGATCTCCTTGTCCCGGTTCCATCCTCATCTCAATTTTCTGAGGACTGTTGTCTCCAACAGGAAAGGGAGGTTTGTACTCCAGAGAAACTGAACCTAAGAGGCCGAGCATAGGGACATCAGTAAGAGCCAGGGAAGGAGGGAGTTGCAGGGCAGATAAGATTCCCCTAAAGGCTGGTGCTGTCAAAGCCTGCAGTGCTGCCATCCCATATGGGTACGTTTCAAGTCCGGGTTGCTCCTCTTCTAGTCCAGCTCTCTGCTATGGCCTGGGTAAGCGATAGGAGATGGTCCAAGTTCTTGGGACCTGTACCCATGTGGGAGACCAAGAAGAAGCTCCTGGCTTCTGATCGGCAAGGTTCTGGCCATTACATCCATCAGGGGAGTGAGCCAATGGAATGGAAGACCTCTCTATCTCTCTCTCTACCTCTTTGTAACTCTGTCTTTCAAATAAACAAAGAAAAAATAAATCTTAAAAAAAGAGTCCCCTAGAACAGGGTGCCCTTAACCACTTTGTCCATCTTGCTCCTGTAGCCCAGCAGCCAAATGTAAACAGTAGAGAAAGAGTAGCACCAGTGAAAAGACTTCCATTTTTGGTCATCTAGATAGACTATTCTCACTCAATGTCCATAAAATGCACGAGATGAAAACTGAAAATTCTCACCACATGGCATAAAATAAATGAAATTTATCCACCCCTGACAAAGGGTTATGAAATTGTGAACACTAGGATAAAAGCTAAATAATAAAACCTTTTAGAGACAAATGAGATAAATATTGAATATCAGAATGCCAGTAGAATCCTTGAATAGGAGTCATATTGTGTATTCTTTTTAAAAAAATATTTATTTATTTATTTGAAAGTCAGAGTTATAGAAAAGGAGGAGAGAGATCTTCCATCCCCTGGTTCACTTCCCAAATGGCCACAACTGCTGAAGCTGGGCTGACCTGAGGCCAGGAGCCAGGAGCTTTGTCTGGTTCTCCCATGTGGGTGCAGGGACCCAAGCACTTGGGCCAGCTTCTCCTACTTTCCCAGGCCATCAACAAAGAGCTGGATTGGAAATGGAAGAGCCTGTACTTGAACCAGCTCCCATATGGGATGCTGGCATTGTAGGCAGCAGTTTTACTTGGTGCATACAGTGTTGGCCCCATCTTGTGTATTTTTATATTATGAGACCTGCAAATGGACAAACAAGTTGTTCTCTGCTTTCAGTTTCTCAGAGTGATACTAGAGGCTGTGCTGCATGCAGGCATCTGAAACAAGTGGCAGAGTCTGAGCCCTAGGAACCAGGGGAGCTCATGATGGAGGCTGTGAGGGTGAGGGAGGGTGATGGGCACCAGACCTGGAAACTAGCACTTCTGATTGGACCTGGTGGATAATGTGGGTTTGAGGGGGAGACAAAGAGGAGCAAAGAGAGTGGCTTGTTTGAAGTTGTCAGTAATTAGAACATTAACACTAGTAGTACTTATGAGCATGTGCAAGATTCCAAACTAACACTTGAAATTGGGAATTTAAATAGATACTTCAAACATAAATGTACAGGAGAAACATAATAGTTGTCTTGTGTGTGATTAATACACTGTAAGCAGTGTAAACAATGAACACTGATGTAGTAAAAACTGTGATATGAAAATGGAGTGAGCATGAATTACATGTGTGCTGGTGTGTGTGTATATTGTGAACATAAATTTCAGAAGAAACTTGTAGAATGTTTCCATACAAACATCTTAAGGTATGAGCAGATGAGAGATTCAAGTTGCAAATTAACTCACACAACATACAAATTCATGTCGACATATGGATCTATTTATAGATTCCTATTTAAAGCATTATATATTATTTTGAATTAAAATTAGTTTTTGATTCTTTTTTTTTTTGACAGGCAGAGTGGACAGTGAGAGAGAGAGACAGAGAGAAAGGTCTTCCTTTGCCGTTGGTTCACCCTCCAATGGCTGCCGCAGCCGGCACACCGGGTTCTAGTCCCGGCTGGGGCGCCGGATTCTGTCCCAGTTGCCCCTCTTCCAGGCCAGCTCTCTGCTGTGGCCAGGGAGTGCAGTGGAGGATGGCCCAAGTGCTTGGGCCCTGTACCCCATGGGAGACCAGGATAAGTACCTGGCTCCTGCCATCGGATCAGCGTGGTGCGCCGGCCGCAGTGGCCATTGGAGGGTGAACCAACGGCAAAGGAAGACCTTTCTCTCTGTCTCTCTCTCTTACTGTCCACTCTGCCTGTCCAAAAAAAAAAAAAAAAAATAAGGATATTATAATGGTTGAACCAAAAATACATAGAATTTTTTGGGTTACACAACAGGATTTTTAAGTTTTTTATTTCCATTTTACTATTCTACAGAAATCTTTTTTTTTATCTTTTATTTAATGAATATAAATTTCCAAAGTACGACTCATGGATTACAATGGCTTCCCCCCCCCATACCGTCCCTCCCACCCACAACCCTCCCCTTTCCCACTCCCTCTCCCCTTCTATTCACATCAAGATTCATTTTCGATTATCTTAATATACAGAAGATCAGCTTAGTATACCTTAAGTAAGGATTTCAACAGTTTGCTCCCACACAGAAACATAAAGTGAAAAATAATAGATGATTTTTTTTTAAATGATGATGAAATCAGATCAGACCTATTGTCATGTTTAATCCCAGTGAGAGTCAAGTTGGGAATTGATAATTTCTCTCTTTTTTTTTTTTTACAGAAGATCAGTTTAGTGTACATTAAGTAAAGATTTCAACCGTTTGCACCCCCATAGAAACACAAAGTGAAATATACTGTTTGAGTACTCGTTATAGCATTAAGCCTCAATGTACAGCACATTAAGGACAGAGATCCTACATGAGGAGTAAGTGCTCAGTGACTCCTGTTGTTGACTTTACAAATTGACACTCCTGTTTATGGCATCAGTAATCTCCCTATGCACCAGTCATGAGTTTCCAAGGCTATGGAAGTCCCTTGAGTTCTCCGACTCTTATCTTGTTTAGACAAGGTCATAGTCAAAGTGGAGGTTCTCTCCTCCCTTCAGAGAAAGGCACCTCCCTCTTTGAAGACCTGTTCTTTCCACTGGGATCTCACTCACAGAGATCTTTTTGCCAGAGTGTCTTGGCTTTCCATGCCTGAAATACTCTTATTCTACAGAAATCTTTAGCATGGTATTGTACGTAGAGAATGAAATCTGTGAGTTATTTTGTAATCATAAATAAATATAGGCATATCTAAAAAAGATAATTTTATTTTGTTGAAAAAATTGAGATACATGCATAAGTTTTCATACTATGAATTTTCCATGAGTTTTTTCTAGTTCCTTATCTGTGCCTAGAATACAGAGATTCTTACTGTAAGTCTCTGTACTATGATCATTTAGAGCTGTTTGGACACCTTTATCATGATTCACTTAGCCGTCAGCTGCTATGAGAAATGTGCCACATTCTCATTTCCAAGATTTCTTACTTGTGTCTTCTCAGCCAAAGTGCAGGAGAAGATTGAGTGTGTGATTGGCCGACACCGGAGCCCCAGCATGCAGGACAGGAGCCGCATGCCCTACACGGATGCTGTGATACATGAGATCCAGAGATACGTTAACCTTGTCCCCAACAACGTGCCCTGGGCAACAACCTGTAACGTTGCTTTCAGAAGCTATCTCATCCCCAAGGTAAGCTTGTTCCTGCTGCACTGCAGGTTGGTGAACTTGTTCCCACACTCCGAGTACAGCACCAATCCTCTAGCAGCACCACAGGAGAGCAGTGCCATGATCTTAGGTATGGTTGCTTGATAGGCATCCGCTGTTGCAGTTTGCGGCTATAAAAATCTGTATAACACGTCTTGATATCTGGAGTCTTATAAGTTTGTCACGCTTTTGTAACAGGTTCTTGCTACTTTTAAATGGTTACATTTCCAAATAAGCTTAAAAGTATTAGCTTCTCAATGTTTCAATACTCTTTAGAGATTTCTTCTGCTTATTATTTTTAAAGTATACTTATTTATATAAAGGGAACAGATTTTATGTATTTAATATATACAGTTTTAAGAACATAATGATACTTCCCATCCTCTCTCCCTCCAGGGCTCCCATAGTTTCTCCTCCTTATTTTATTATTTTTCTTTTATTTATTTGATAACATTTTCAACTTATTTTGTAATAACAAGCTTAATCCCCCACTAAATTAAGAATCTGTAGATCAATTTGGAGTCAGTTAATGACCTAGCAGTTAGAGTTTTTAGATTCATAGATATAGTTATGTCGCAATTTATTTGTCATTTCTTTAATTTTCTCATTATTGTTTTATTTTCAGTGCTGAGGCTTGCACATTTATAATCTTTTTCCCTAAATAAGTGATAGTTTAGAGTTTATTGTGATGATTTGCTTTTGAAAGTAGCCTTTTGATTTCTTCATTTCTGATATATTGAAATATTTTTGAGTTTATTACTATTCTGATAACATGATATCTAGCAATCTTGTTAAATTCCTTTGTCATTACTAATGATTTGTAGATTCCTGTGTATTTCTATGTACACAGTTTTTCAGTCTGGCTTAATGTTTTTCATGTTTTCAGATTCTCAATATTGCATTATTTAACTGGAATGAGTTTTAGGACAGTGTTGAGTAGATGTCATGAATGTGGCTATCCCTGATATGTTTGAACTCCAGGAAGGGTGGAGATTTAATATCTTACCATTGAGAATGCTGTTCATTACATATTTTATGATTTTTATCATATTAAGAAAGTTGGCTTCTCCTATTTTCTTTTTTGTCATGACTGCTTATACAGTTGAAGTAAGTGTATTCTCTGCATCTATTAATATACCCATATATTTTGGGCTGTCTACATGCAGTAGGTAATAATATAGTATATATTTATAAATGTATTGATTAACACTCATACATACACAGCTAGATTGGATTTACTAGATTTGTTCAGGAAGTTTGTATTTATACCTGTGAGACAGAAAATATTTTTGTTAAATTTTTGATGTGAAGATGATGTGGACCTCATAAAATAAGGTAGGAATGTTCTCTACTGTGCGTTTATTTTTATTGCCTTTCCCTTCTTTCCTATTCCTTTTCAAAAAAATTATTTGCTGGGGACAGAGAGAGAGAGAGAGAGAGAGAGAATCTAATCCATTGGTTCATTCCCCAAATGCCTGTGATGCCCAGTACTGGACTGAACCTGGGAACTGGAAATGCAATCCATGTCCCCCACATGGGTGGCAGGAACTCAACTATTTGAGCCATCACCAGGGTCTTCCAAGACTATCAGAGAGCTAGATTCTAGGTACCCCAATTGTGGGATGTAGATGTCTTAACTGCTAGGTTAAAAATCGTACTTTGGAAATTTATATTCATTAAATAAAAGTTAAAAACAAACAAACAAACAAACAAAAAAACATGCCCTTTCTGTTCTCATTGTGCCCATTAGTTCTATCTTTGAGGTGCCTAAATTGCTTGGTTAAATGCCAGGTATAACATATGAAAAAAACAGTCTCTTCTGATGTTCATCTTTGAGATCAGAGAGAATGATACAATACTTCTGGCTTCATTCAGAACTGGAAATGAATACAGTCAAGTGTTGATTGTAGATGTCAGCTGAATTTCTCTGAGGTTCTCTCATTTTGGAAATACTGTCTCTTTTTTCAGCAATAGTGGAGAGGCTGAGAGACAGTAAGAGTGAAAAGAGAGAGAGAGTTTCTGTTTTCTGGTTCACTTCCTTAATGCCTGGGAAGATGCTTGTGGAGCTGGGAATGCCATCTAGACCTCCCACATGGGAGGAAGGAGCATAATTACTTGAATGAGTCATCCCTTTATTGGGCTTAGCATGAGCACAAATCAGGAGCCAGAGTTGGGAATGGGACTTAGGCAGTTTGATTTGGGTTGTATGTGTCATAACTGATGACTAATTGTCTACTCCTCAAGGTTTTGTTTAGTAATACATGGCTAGAAATATGCTATACTGAGAAGTACAACATGGGTACATTTTTATGTGGTGGCTCAAATTTTATTGAACTGATGTGAATCCATTTCTTTTCCTTATTTGTCCTACTCTGTGTGAATTTTAATATATTTGATTGTAAGCTGTGTCCCATATTTCTGAGAGTATCATGAAATTGTGCAAACACCCCCTACAATCCATCTGAAAGTCCGCATAAAACTGAATTTGAGAACAAACTGCGTTTTAAGGATTTCAAATGAAGAATTGTGTTACTACACCTTCATGAATACATGTGTTCATTTTAGAAGGTAAAATAGAAGTAGGGAGAGGGTAAGATTTACCCTATAGATAATTTTGAGAAGGCTCTTAAGAACCAATGTGGGGAAGAAAATCCCCCCTGAGTGGCAGAATGCTCACTGGAATTTTGTGTGCCATGATCACATCTTCTTCGAGATTTCCACGTAATTTCATTGCCAGAGGAATGCATGGTCAGAATCAGAGTCACATGCTTCTGGTAGAGAGTGGAAAGAGTCTCACTGTGTAGAAAATGACTCAGGCACTATGTTCCAGCAACTAAATCCTGAAAATGGAGAATTCAAGGTGGTATTCATTGCCAATTACCTGCTACAAAAGTCACGAGGACTATAGTATGAACTCTGGTTCTGATACTGCTAGTTATCATTTAGGAAAAAGTTCTCAACCCCATGAACTGAGTTTTCCTTACTTTTGGACTGTTGATAACGCTATATTATGTTTGTTGTCAGAACTGAACCAGGTAACATCTGCAAAATATAAGTTAAAACTATTAATTATTTTCATCTATTAGGCAGATGAAGTCAAAGACTCAGAAAAAGCTATATTTGTGAGAAGGAGTGCATATTAATGCATTTTTATGTTTTGCTGGAAGGAATATCAGAAATATTTGGAGGGTAACTTGCAATATCTATTGTGTTATGAAATATAATATCCTATAATGCAAGAATTCAAACTATTTGTATGTACTTTATGATTTGGAATGTGAAAAGGGAGGAATGTCCAAAAAATTAGTCATTTCCCATTGCTTCTAAAAAATTGATTTCAAGCTATACTAGTGTTCATCAATAGTGTAATGTCCCATTCATATTGTATAGCTGAATAAATACTTATGTAGATGTGTTAATATTGGACAATATCCAAATTATTTTATACTACACAAAAGCAAGGTATAGTAGATGCTGTTCTTTGGGGTTAAAATATTAAAAAGTTACAAGTGGCATAAACATATTTATCTGCCCATTGATCATGATATGCATAACATCTCTGGAAGGGCATATTCCCTAGAAGACACAAGAACTAGTTGATTGGAATGGTATATTTTGGGGCATTTTAAATGTGTTTGTGTGGTTAAATAAGAATGAGATGTGCTTTTCACTATATTTTCTGTGACATAATGTTTGATTCAATTTTATTTTAATATTCTTTAAAATTTTTGGCCATAATTAAATTTAACACGTTTTGTTGTATCACATGTTGTTTTCATATATGTGTACTGTTCAAATCATGGTAAATATGTGTATTTCCTCAAACATTTGTAAATATTCAAAATCATTTCTACTTTTTAAAAAAATATAGTTGATTATTTAAAATTTCTTTTTATTTATACGAGGTGGACAAATTTAATGTATTTCATATCTATAGATTTTAGAGCATATGATACTTCCTACCCTACTTTCCCTCCTGCATGTGCTCCTAACCTCTATCTTGCTTCCTTTATAAATTTTTCTTTTATTTTTTACAATGACTTACTTTCAGTTTATTTTATAATCACAAGCTTAACCTCTACTATGTAAAGAATTCAACAAGTGAAAGTAGAAACTCTATAGTCATCCTACCCTTCAATAGATTAGAACTTGTTATTCCTACCTATGATGAATTTCAGTTTAATTTTTAAAAGATTTATTTATTCATTTCAAAGTCAGAGTTACAGAGATAGAGAAGGAGAGGCGGCGGGGGGGGTTCTTCCATCCATCTCCAATTGGCTGCAACAGCCAGAGCTGTGTTGATCCAAAGCCCGGAGCCAGGCACTTCTTCTGGGTCTCCCACGTGAGTGAAGGGGCCCAAAGACTTAGGCCATCTTTTACTGCTTTCCCAAGCCATAGCAGAGGGCTGGATCAGAAGTGGAGCAGACGGTGGTCAAACCATTGCCCAAATGGGATGCCAGCACTGCAGGTGTCAGCCTTACCCATTATGCCACAGCTCTGGCCCCTCAGTTTAATTTCTAAAATTTACCTTAAAAATTATCCATATCCCAGCCCGCCGTGGCTCACTAGGCTAATCCTCCGCCTTGCAGCACTGGCACACCGGGTTCTAGTCCCGGTCGGGGCGCCGGATTCTGTCCCGGTTGCCCCTCTTCCAGGCCAGTTCTCTGCTGTGACCAGGGAGTGCAGTGGAGGATGGCCCGAGTACTTGGGCCCTGCACCCCATGGGAGACCAGGGTAAGTACCTGGCTCCTGCCATTGGATCAGCGCGGTGCGCCGGCCGCAGCACACCGGCCGCGGCGGCCATTGGAGGGTGAACCAACGGCAAAGGAAGACCTTTCTCTCTGTCTCTCTCTCTCACTGTCCACTCTGCCTGTCAAAAAAAAAAAATTATCCATATCCTAAATTGCTTTGTTACAGTATTGAGTAATTTCTCTGTATCTCATGAAATGCATTGAATTTCCATGAAAAAACTTTCGAATTCTTCA